GAGTTTTGGTTGATACCAGGAAGGAAAAAGGGTCTGTAGGGATGAGGATTAAAGTTCTGGGTTCACTCCTTGGGGTTTTGGTTGACACCAGGAAGGGAAAAGGTTGTGTGAGGACAAGGATTAGAGCTCCCTGTTTTCCCAGGGGAGCTGCAGGTGAGGAGACACTGCTTTGGGACTGTCTTGGAGCTGTTTTAAGGTGAGGAGACACTGCTTTGGGACTGTCTTGGAGCTGTTTTAAGGTGAGGAGACACTGCTTTGGGACTGTCTTGGAGCTGTTTTAACCCCTGTGGGCACAGTGCCCAGGGCAGCAGCACCCAGGGAGAGCTGCCCCCACCGGGATGAAGCCCCGTGACCTGCAGCAAGCCCTGCAATAAACAGTTAATTACTCTAAAAGCCAATTAACACGAGTAGTTCCATTGCAAACTGGTGGGGTCACCCCAAGTGCTGGCTTTGTGCAGTGTCCTGACATCAAACGGGGTCACTGAGCCCCGTCCTGTGTCTTTAAGGCAAATGTTGCTTGGGGTGTGTGTGAAAATTTGGGGGGATTTCTGCCTTATTTTTTAAAGTTGTTTTCCTACAGTGCAAAGGCTCTTTGTCCTCTCCTGGTTAAGCCTCAGCAGCAGATTCCCAGGCTCCTCTTTCCCCTCTCTGTTCTCAGCAGTGATTTAATAAATACATTTCAAAATCACTTTTTCCTTTCTCCTCCACCCAGCTGCCAACTCCCACCCCCAGAATGTGTCTGCACATGGATGCATGTGAACTGAATTCACATCCCAGCACTGACAGGTCTCATTTCACCACAATTAATACAATCTTGACTCTATTTTTCTTTTTACTAGTTCCTTTTTTAATTATTATTTATTATTTTTTATTATTTTATTATTTGTTTTCCCCCTTCTCCCACTGCCCTTTTTGGTTCTGGGGTAAAAATCCATCTCACAGTTAGAATGGGAACTAAATATTAGACTGTGGAGAAAGGAAAGAGGAGGGTGAGCAGGTCACAGTTACCACCAGATACTGTGCTGAAGCTTTTGCCAAAACCTGTTGGCTCTAAACACAATTCCCTAAATTCCCTGACCAAATCTGCTCAGTGGTACAGTAAATACAAAAGGGTGTTTGACTGCAGTGGGATTTCCTGGTGTGGATGTGTAGCTCTGCTTCCCAGTGCTGGAGTATTTATGGGAATTTTCTGCTTCTGGGATCTCAAATTCGACTTTCGTTGGCACTGCTCTGTCACAATTCCCCTGGATTTCAGTGGCACTTCCAGCACAGGAGCCCTGAATATTTGAGTTGAGCCCTGGAGCACAGGGGTTTGTGCTCTGTGTTGCTGTGAGCTGCAGTGGTTTTGGGGGCTGGCAGTGGTTTTAGAGGCTGGCAGTGGCTTTGGGGGCTGGCAGTGATTTTGGGGGCTGGCAGTGGTTTTGGGGGCTGGCAGCTCCTTGGGGAAACTCCTTCTGCTGAGCCCATCCATGCAAAGCGGAGATAATTCACTATAAATGGGCCAAATCAATAATAAAGGGAGAAAGGGGAAAGAGCTGCTTGGAGGAATGACTTGACCCATTGATTGATTTGGGTTGGAGGGACCTTAAAGCCCATCCTGTGCCACCCCCTGCCATGGGACACCTTCCAGTAGCCCAGGATGCTCCAACCTGGCCTTGGACACTTCCAGGGATGGAGCAGCCACAGCTTCTCTGGGAATTCCCTCCCAGCCCCTCCCCACCCTCCCAGGCAGGAATTTCTTCCCAATATCTAATCTTGCTGCACCACGAGACCACAATCCTCCAATTTTCCTGCCCCTGGGCTGCTTTATCTGCTGTTATCTTCACTTGAGATTTCCTTTACGTCTCATATGCAATAAATTCAGATCAAATTAATGCCCAACAAGGAATTAAATAGCAAAGTTCTTGTCTCCTGCTCATTCATCCCGATGGCTACAACGACTGCAATAAAAATTCAGGAGTGCTTTGCTGTGAATAAACCTGAGACAGAATATGGCCCCAAGATTCCTGCTTTTGAAACAGGCCCATCCAAGCTGGACCTGCTGCCTCATTGGTGCAGTGGTGGAGAGAAAAAAAGCATTAAAGACCTGAATGTAAGTGAAGTAATGCAAGACAAGATCTGTCAGCACAGGCTTTAATGTTGCTTAACAAAATATGTTACAGTAAATCTTTATAGACTGTATAAGTACGTCGAGTTCCAACAAAGTAAACCAAAGTAAACATTTCTCTTATGGGAAATTAAATTCCATGTGGTTAGTGCAGAGCCATGATTAATTCAGAGGCAATGAGAATATAGTAAAGTTATTGACTGTGTCTGAGAAACAATTTCATGTCAGGAAAAAAAATAGGAGGGGGAGAAGTAAAAAAAAAAAAAAAAGTTTAAACACCAAAGATAGGAGGGGAGGGGAAAACCAGAAGTGGAGTTTCTGGTGTTTAATTATAAATGAAAGCATGGGTGCTGTAGGTATTAAAGGGGCATCAATTATTGATAACGAGCTGGCTGCAGGATCAGGGAGGAGCCCTGGGTGCTCTGAAGGGCTGGGGGTGGGGGGGGTTGTGTTTACACACCCGTGTGATTTCCTTCCCTGCCCTCCCCGGGATCCCCAGGAAAAGGAGCACTCCGAGGGCTCTTGGCCGCCGGCCCCAGCGCGCGGTTTCATAACGCTGGGGGTTTAACTCCAAATGATTTTTAATATTCCACATATGGTTTCATGGGTTTTTTAAGCCTCCTCGCTGGGAATGAACAAGGCTGTGGTATTATGATGAATAGTGGATGGGGTCCAGGAACACCCACTTGCTTCCCTACATATCAAACATGTGGCGCTCCCATTAAATCTGGGAATCTCCCCTGGGATCGGAGTTGTCCTATCTAATCCAGTCCTATTTCGTTCCCCAGCCCGAATTGAGTAGGATGCATTGTTCCCATACATTCTTCTTTTAATTAAATGCAGTAGATATGTCATGTCAATGAAATATTCCAGGTCTGTTTTTACATCTGTAGCCATTTTCTCCTCCTGTACTTCCATTTGCCTCCTTGGACAGAAATTCTGCATTAAATACAGCCCTGGATTAGTTGATTGGCCGTGTGGAGGCTGCCAGAACAGTTCAAATAAAAATCATAATGTTGTTTTTTTTATTTTTTTTTAATTATTTTTTTCCTGGCCTCTGTAAAACTGGACCATAATGTCATAGAGACACTGTTCCTCTCGAGAAGTTTCAGACCCTCCAGAACGAACACTCAGCCCCCAAATTACCTGCCTTGCCTTGTTTGTTTTGCTGAGTGGATGGGTTTTGCATCCCAGCCCTTTCCCTCCTTGTTCCTGCTGTAATCCCTGCAGGTATCAGCCACTGAACCAGGTTCTTGGGGAGATTTGCTGGGGATCATTTGGCAACTGATCCAATTGACACAAATCTGCACCGTTATTTAAACCCCAAACCCCCTCTCTGAGTATCTGCCAAGCAGATTATCCAGGTTTGAAAACTTGATCTCCTTTTAAAAACGCCGTGTTCAATTATTATTTTTAAAATGCTGGATTACAGCTCTGAATTCTCTGGAGGTTAAACTGGAGCCTTATTATAAGGGGAACTACAAGTAAACATTATTAATTATAAAAAAAAAAAATTGCTTAAATTAGGTTTTTTTCACACCTGCTTCTTTCTTAATTAGCTCGTAGTCCACATATTTCAGTCAGTTGAACTCTTTAGTATTTATTCAAGCATACTTGACATTAACATACTGTTTGATGTTTGATATCCCGAGTTTTTAATTTAACCACATGACAACAAATGGTATTTATGAAATATCAGTGAGCTGGAAAAATATCCTGTGTTGCAGTTGTGCTCTGTGGTGAGCTGAAAGCTGCTTCCTTTTGGAGCTTTAAGCAGGGCTTAAATGCACAGGGGGAACGTGTGCCTCGTGCTGATACCCCTATTTTTTTATCCTCAGCGAGATTTACAGGCTGCCAGGGGTGCAGAGCTACCAAGAGAGCAGCAGACTCGCTGCAGGATCTGGGAGGGGGAAGAAACACCAAAATACTTTTCGAATGATGTCATAACTCAGGGGTTTCTTACAAAATGGAATTGGTCCTGACACACGAGTCAGCAGCAAAATATGCAGCATCTCTTTGTCTGGGTTTATTAATGCTGTCACACTCGGCATTGGGGTCGTGCTTTCCCCACAGTAGTTTTGGTTGTATTTACAGTTATCTCCCCTCGGAGTGTACAAACCTGTGCTGTTTGTGTGGCAGCAGTGCTGGGATCGGGCCTGGCTCTGGTGGGTGCTGTTCACCAGCAGCACAGGGCAGTTCCTGCCAAGGAGGACTTGCATTCAGGGCAGATGGGACAAACACAGGGTGCTGAGCCCAGAAACCACATGGGCACGAGGAACAACCCCCTGGATTCAGCATCTTCCCCAAATCCCTGGCTCAGCTCTGACACCACCACCCACAGACTCCTTTTCTTTACCTGTTTTTAAGCGGGGCAAATTTTAATAAGCGTTTCACGAATTGTCAAGAAGTCAGTGATACTGAGGAATATGGAATCCATGACTTTAAAGATGGAATAATTCTTCCTGAGCCTCGACTGGTATGACTGTGGTTCAGAACTGCTGTTGTGTGTGTTGTGTGTGTCTATGGTTGCACTTACACTGGTGCAGGTGAGCAGTTTGGGGAACACCTGTCTGTCAGTGTAACATTTGTTCTTTGTTATTCCTTGGGCAAGGAATGAGGCAGGGGACTTCTGGGGTACAACACAGTGGGATTATCTCAGGAGGAAGTTTGAAGTGCTCAGCCTGGTTTCTCAGAGCCCTGGGACCAGCCCCAGCCCCCAAACTCGAGTTGGGGTGCAGGGCTGACCCAGGGATGTGGCAGCTCCCTGTGGCCAAGGGAACGATCCCACAGTTGTAATTCCACAGCCCGTGGCCAACAATGACTGTTCCCAGCCCTGGCCCGAGTTAAACTTGCGAAATCCTCGCCAAACCCTCGCCAAACCCTCGCTACCTGCTGTGCTGGTGCTCGTGTGTCATCCGTGCAGGGTCCCGGGGAAGGGCTGGGCTGGGGAGGGGGAGGGTTCCCAGCAAAGGGTGGGGGAGTTCTGAGTAATTTGTTAAATCTGCCGCAGATTCTCTTGTGCAAATCTCGTCCTCCTCTCTCTGGTCCCTCTCTGGCAGCAAAGTTCTCTGATTTTTGGTGCGTGGCTGTTACACAAAGCAGAGCTCAGGGTTTTGAGCAGAGCTGTGTTGTTAGTTCACGTTGTAGTTTGTTGTTTAAAACACTGCAGGGATAGCAAATGAACAATTGTTCAACAAACTGAAATACTAAAAATAGGAAATTTCAAGTTGGCTTAGGCTGGAATTTTATTTGATCTTTGAGTTTGTGTGATTTTTGAGTTTAAAAACAGAATTCTGTGTGATTTTTGAGTTTAAAAACAGAATTCTGTTTTAAAATCAACCCCCTCATTTTAGAAAGTGATGATAAAATACTTCTGTACTTTTGATGCCTTTTGCTTGCTGTGAAAATGTAACAAACTCCAAACACCTTTTTGACTTTTGTTTTGCACGTCGAAGCCTCATCTCTGAATTCTCTGCTTGTAAAAATGCCATTAATCACAACTTAGACATTTTTAGCTTTTTCTAAGCCACATGGACCATAACAAAGGTTAGAAGAACAAAATATTTGAGGCTAAACGTGTATCACCTTTGTGATCCCTACTTCTGGGTCAGTAGGAACGACCAGAATTCCAGGAGGAATTTCATCCTGATGAGGAAAAAACCGATATAAAAGCCTAGTTTCAGGCTAATAGAATTTTTTTTTTTTTTTAAAGAAAGATTGCTGGTTGTTGTAGTAGACATGAGTTTCCATGTGATCTTGATCAGCAGTAAATCACTTTATCATCAGCCCCGTGGATGTGTGAACACAGTTGTGTTGTCACTGTTGCTGCTGTTAGAGTTTGATGGCAGGTATGAGCTCTACCTGCTCTCTGTGCCATTCAGATGTTAATAATTAATAAAAGAAGGCAATGAGAGGATATCTGGGCCTGCACCCCAGATCTCAGCAGTGGGAGCTGCTGCCGGGGTGGGGTTCACTCAGGACCAGGCCGGGCTGTGCAACAGATGAAGTGTCAAGAAATATTAAGGAGGGATTCAGAGAAAATCCCTCATGTTAGAGGAATGTTCTAAGCTGAGAGGAATATCTTCATAAAAACAAATGGGAGACAGATGCATGAATTTCAAGTGGCAGGATAAATTGAGTGGGGAGAAAGCTCGTTTGTGATGTTCACACTTGTTAGCGGGTCAGGATGACACGGGAGGAGCTGCAGCTTTATTTAGGCTTGTTCAAACTCATTCACACAAAACTGCACTGCCTTTGCTGGGATCTTCATAGCTGCCTGTGTCTTAATTAACGTGGGCCAAGGATGCACTTTGCTGGTTTTGTTCCTCCTGAAAGGAAAGCTGATGTCAGTGGGAGCCTCTCACAGGTCTTGGCTGAGCTGGGCTGGAACGTGGGGCTCGGAGCACTAAATTCAGTCCTGGTGTCTTTGGCACACCAAGATGGATGAAGAATCCTGCTTTTAGGAATTTAGGAAAGGGATATTTGCTCTGATGAGCTCCCAGGCCAAACAGAGACGAGAACATGTGTTGACCCTGGAGAGGAAGTGGCAGGATTACGGGAGAGATGAACGGGAGAGCTCCAACCAGCCCCGTGGTGTTCCTCTGACTCATGAAAGCCACACTGCCCTTGATCCCCTGTCTGACTCTTTAGCTGAGATACATCTAGAAAGTAGTTTTTTCCAAATCTTGTCCCTCCCTCTTGCCTGCCAGGCTGTATTAGTCCTTGTCTGAGAGTTAAAACTTCGCTTTATTTTCCTTATAATTACAATTTGCCTCTGGCAGGTGGGCTTGGTCGGACAACTGTTGCTCTTGGGCACGTGGAAGAGCTGTGAGATGCAGTGTGTCAGCCCACAGCACTGCTGGAAAACATGCAGACAGGCCCAGAACTGTGAAAAAGCATGCTGCTTTTCAAATTTACTGTTATTACTTCGAACAGGACGAACAAATAAACAAAAAGGGAACGTAGCTCAGCAAAGGGTGCAGCAC